AAAAAGCACTGTTTCCATGTGAACGAATCATGAAGTTCACATTAATGTTTAATTAATGTATAAGAACATATTCAGGAAGAAGTGCCTTGGATGACCTTAATGCTGGGTGGTCATCCAAGGTCCATCACCAACATCAAGGTCATCCAAGGCACTTCCTCCCGAATATGTTCTTGTACTACCTGCTGCCCCACACTCAGCTGGTCTCCCAAAGGCAGTTACCTTCATACAGCCAGACACTGCAATGGGGAAGAGGCAATGAATATTGAGTCAAACACGTGCACCAGAATTAAGTACCTCAGGAAATAAGCCATTTGGGAAAAATCAAACAAGTGCTTCCACATCCTGAATGTCTGGAACAGCAAATATTGGGGAGGGAGGGGAAGAAAGGGCAAGGAGGATACAAGCAAAATATTCCTAGCACCTTTCTTGCAAGCCTGCCTTGAGTCTTCATTACATTTTTATGTCATTTCCTAGACAAAGCAGCTGGAAAGACTGACAAATCAGTTTAAGAAAAAAAGCTTTGAGAGGCTGTAATTGTCACCCAAGACGGTGGCAATATTATAGACTCATTAACTGCTCTTCACCCACAGGACTGTTTAGCCAGGGCTGGGCAGACAGGCCAGAGAAAACAAAATGGAAAAGCTGCATCTCGGGTGTGGGTGCACGTGTTCTAGTGTTCCTAAGATTACATGTTCTTTGTTCAGTTGCATGTCTCCTTAAATCCCTGGCCCGGGAAGGTAACGCACCACCTCCTTGGATTTTTTCCTCTAGTGCTGTCCAAGGCCAAAAAACAGAGCAAGAAGCGTGCACAGAAATCAGAATCACGCCTCCCAGCCCTTCCCCTTCCCCCAAGTGCGATAAGCCAGTCTATTTGGCATCCACTCAGATTGTTCTTAAAAAAGGAAAATATTTCAAGATGGTTTGCCTTGTGCATCAAGGTGCTCCGACAGTCAAGCAGCTGCGTTCCTCAATTAGAAAGAAGCCAGTTTCTGTGATATTAGTTCACAAGTGGATTCTGGAGAGACTTATTCCAGTCAGAATTGAATGAAACCAGTCTTTCCTCCCTCTATACCAGTAGCCAGATAAGAGTCAGCCTTGTTTCAGAAAGGAGTATTTTAAATGAAGTTTGTCCCAAACATAAAAGGGAAACAACTTAAAAGCAACTGAAGTGATTGTAGGCTTCAAGGAAGGTTTGAGCAGACAGTTTTATTTAACAAGTCTTGCCCAGTACAATGGTTGACAAAGGCAACATTCACCAATCTTGTGAAATTTTGTCCATTCAGAAACCTCAGTATTAATTGTAGATAGATACAGGCTGTGGCTGGGCCCTCTTCCTTATCTTATCTCTTTCCCTGGTTTCAGTATTGCTATGTGGGTGAAGACAGGAAGCAGCCTACTGCATTCACCAAATGCACCCAAGTCTGAGGAACAACAGAAGCTTAAAGAAAAGGAACAACTTTGTATAAAATGATGATTTCCATGCAGCACCATTGATTTAGTTGATATCCATTAAAATCTGTCACTTTTATTCACAGAGGAATCGAAGGTTACAGAGTTCTAGTTCATCATTCGTAATCTGTTTGCTAGTACGTGCATACGCTCAGGGAACAAACATGCCTAGCCCTTAAACATCCTTTGTCTGCAGGCACACCAGTGAAGCAGTGCAGCTACATGGTACTATCTGTTAACCAAGAACAGTAAGTGTAGTATTTAAGCCTAGAGTAATAACAAACAGCTCGGGTTTGTTAATTCATCCAAATAAACTATTCAATTAAATCAGACCTCCTCCTCCCTCCTGCAAAAGGCAGGCATTGTGACCAGCTGGGTCACTTAAACACCATCAACAGAGCAACAAACAGGCTGGGGTAAAGAACAACATCTGAGAGAAGCAGCAAAAAAGGAGAAGAGGCCAAACTTGCCAGAAATTATCTTCTTTGAGCCACACGTGAGTCCTGCTACTTAGAACTGAGCAGAAACCAGTGCCAGAAGCCACAAGGAGATGCAGCTTGGAGGACCCAAGCAAAAAAGCAAGCAAGCCTAAGAAGCTGTTCAGTGGAAGAGGAAAGGACTGAATTTTGTTAAAATGATCCCAGCAGGCTTTCATCCTGGGAGCACCCTGTGCAGAAGGCCTGGAGCCACAGCTTACAAATTCTACCCGAATGCAACTCGGCCAGTGGGCCAAGTGTTAAGAGATGGCACGAAGCCAAGCGCTGCTGCTACCTAAGCAGTTTCTGGACTCCAGGTGGTGGCCGTCTTCCCTGCTGAAGTTTCAGGACGTCCACATGACCAATTCCGTTTAAAATGTTTGTGGATACCAGGCATGTACTGCTCTACTTTTAAATGGGAAGTAGTTCATACCTTCAAAAGCAGATGTTCTCAATGTGCCCTTAATCTCCACAGACAGCTTATCTGTAAAATATAAATGAATACACAATTAAATAAGGAAACCAGAGTTTTAACAGACTACTAGGATGTCAGAGAGACCAATCTTATCAGGGCTCAGCAGGCCAAGTTTTAGTCTATGGCTTCAAATAAGCATAATCCATTGGAAATGTTGCTAAAATCTTTTTCCATCTTCCCATTTTTGTAGCTTGATCTCCTTTAATTTGCTTTGTCACCTAATGGCTACACAAAGCAAAATAAGCTTTAGATTACTGACCCATTCCTGAACGCTAATAGACTGTGCATTTACGGTACGGCATGGAGCACCGTTTGTACAACAGCCTCTGATAAAAACTAGATGGCACCATTCAAGCCATTCAGATTAGCACCAGAAGGGACTATTGTGATAATCTAGTTTGAACACCTGTGTATTCCAGCCCACAAAATCCCCAAATTAAATCCTTCTTTAAAATTAGAGCCTATCTTTTAGGAAAAAAGGAAAAACCTCTCAGCTCAATTTTAAAACTGGTTTCTGATCAAGTAGGTTCCTGCCTATGAAAGCTTATGCCTCTCTGAACCAGTCAGCCATCAAGGCACCTGCCTGCCCTGCCTTCTGCCCAATTTTAAAACGATAAATGATGGGCAACCTATCAGTATCCTTGGTAATTAACCACTGTAACAACTTGCACTTGCTTAAGTTCATGCATTTTTTTCTAATTTGAACTTTTCTGGCTTCAACTTCCAGCCCTGGATAATTTTATACTGCTGCCAGTTTGATTGAAGAGCCCTGTGCTATCAAAGTCCTGTTCCCTGTAATACAGGTACTTATACTGATCATGTCACAACCTTGTCTTTGACCTCCAGTAAGCTAAATAGGTTCTCTCTCCCCATGAGACAGGTTTCCAAGTCCTTCAATAAACGCTTGCGGTCTCTCAGACCCCTTCCAACTGGTCAGCATCCTTGAAACCGTGGATATCAGAACTGGACCAAGTATTCCAGTTACTTACAGAAGATATAGGAGCAGGAGTAGGGAGACTATACATTTTCCTGTTTCTATATCCAAGAATCACATTGGCCTTTTTTTGCTACATCATCATCCTAGGAGCTAACTTTCAAGTAATTATCCATTAAAGTTACTTTTTCTAGGCCACAGATTCCTAAATTGTGGTCAGTCACTAGTGGTCCAAACACTGCTGACTCAAAAATGCTGTTGCTTCTCTTGGTTTCTGGTTGAGAGGAGACGGAGCAAGAAGAAACAGCACAAGCAACATTTCTCAGAAAGAACACCACCCTTAAACACAAGAGAGAGAGAGCAAAAATGCATTGTGCCTTCCCAAGTGCTACTGTTTTATGTAAGCAGTTGTTCTACGTGCCACAGGTATGCCAGGACATTGTGAATAAGGACAGGGGTCACCACGTGACGAGCTGATAAAATGATGACTACATCATGAAAACATCCAAGAAGCTGTAGGCAGCTTGATTTTATTCTCGATTATTTCATGCCTCATTGTTTCATGTGTTTATATACTAAAAGAACACGCCGCAGCTTTCCATACAGAAGTGTACGTAGCATATCAGCTGCTGAAACCCTAATCAGAGCTGAAGGTCAGTGAAACTCTTCATAAAACAGTAGAGAAGTTGGGCTGGGAAGGACCTCCAGATACCATCTAGTCCACCCCCTGCCTGAGGCAGGGTCATTCCTATCCAAGGCATCCTATACACATCTATCATCTAACCTCTACCGTCAGTCCTGACCCAACACAAGACATCACACCCAAACCCGCCACCAGTAAAGCAAGGGGACCACAGCATTTGTACCATTGCTTCCCTCAGTCACTTAGTGCCCAAAAGGTTCCCAGACCTTTCACGGGGCAGAACTTACTTTACAAGTGAAGACAACTAAAGACAAAAAAAACTTCTTTTACTGCACTTCAGGCAAGAGCTGGTACTTAAAAGGCAATACAGAATATATCCTTCCATGCCAACACTGGGGAATGCTTATATTCCCAGATATTATAGAGCAACTTTGTCCCAGATTCTAGGAGATGGATATTTGTTGGCTTTGCCTTTACATTACTGAAACTATGCCCCAATACTAGTACTGGAAGGCTGCTCCAGAAACTCATTCTGGAATGGTTAAAAACTTCTCATTTCTAACCGAAATATACTCCTGGCCAGTTAATATCCATTTGCTTTTGTGTGAACATGGCCCTCAGCTTAAATAACTCTTCTCTGCCATTTGCTCACCCTCTGGCATATTTAGAGGGCAATCAATCAAACCCTCTTTACAGCCTTCGTTTTCCGGACCAAATGAGTGAACTTGTAGGAAGACAGGCTCTTCACTCCCCTCAGCATCTTCACAGACTTTTTCTGTACCTGCTCCAATTTGAAGTCAGTTTTCTTCATGGGCAAGCAGAAGGTGAAGAAACCTGTTGGCTTCTCTCATCCAGGAATATCTAGGTTCTTCTGCTGTTAGTGGCATTTGTTCTACAGTCTTCCCCTTGGAAACTGAAGTCTCCCATGATGACACTGTTGCACTGCCCTCTCCAGCAATATTAGTAAGACAGACCCTAAAGCGTGGAGCAGACAGCTAGCACAGTACCGCAAATCCTGTCACATTCACCATCTTTCCCTAAAATGATTTTGATACAAGCCAATTCTTGTTTATCCATGTTGACCCTTACTTCCTTACAGCCTATCACTTCATCATACACCATGAACCCCTTCCTTCTATTGCTGTCTGTCCTAAACAGCACCTTTGCCGTCCCAGTCATGATGATCACTACTCCATTGCCTTTGTTTTCTCTGCAACGCCCAGGTTCACATCCTCTCCTGGCAGTTCGACTTCCCCTTTTCATTGTCCAGGCTTCTTGCATTACAGCAGAAATATTTCAGTTGCCTTTAGTTGACTTTGCCTAATTTTCTAGCCAGGTATCGACTACTTAACTACTGCTCCTGGGGGTTTTGTTGGGTTTTTGCTCCTACTGTTACATTCCTGGAGAAGGCAGAGCAAGGTGGAGCCTGGTAGATTAACCTGTTCAGAGAGAGGCAAGCTTTCAGAGGCAACAGCCAGCATCTGATGAAGTATGAAAGCTCAAGCCCCTCTAAACAAGTTGCTATTTAAAAAGTGCCACTCTACCAGGCCTTCTGCCTGGCTTCAGACTCACACACCTAACTAACGTCCTTTACATTCCTGTATTCATTGATGTATCCTCATCACATATAGGATGCATTTGGTAAACCAGGACACTGCTTCTTATAGTCCCAAAATGACGTGCATAATCCTTGCTATTGTGGGTGACAATTGCCCTTCCTTGCCATGCTGCCACTTCCTGTCTGGGCATCAAGTGCCCATTTGTTCTGGCAATAAGTAAGCCTGGGCTGTCCCCTACCTATCCCACCTGCTAAAAAAGTAACCTAATGCCACTTGTTAAGCACATGTTGAACAAAAAGGCTGCTCCCAATACACAAATGAGAACATAAGAAATGCCACAATGAATTCTGCAAGTCCTCTTAAAAAAGATTAAGAAGATCCTTTGACTGAAATACACGCACTTTCATAAAACAGTGAAAGGGTAGGCCACCCCCGGAACATGTGCCAGAGCATGGCACATGAAGGCATTTTGCTTGGTATATGCACCTCAGGGAAGGGGTCAGAGTTGCACTGCCACAAGGATTGGGCCCCTCGTGGCTCCCCCACCATCCAACCCGGGCACACCAACATCTTACAAGTCGAGATACATTTTTGGGGGTGTTGGTTGTAGCCGTGTTGGTCTCAGGACATAGGCAGACAAGGTTCTTTGGGTAAATCCAGTATCTTTTTATTTGACCAACTAAAATAGATGGAAATATTCTTCTTTGTACCCAAAAGCTTGCAAAGATAAATCTTTTCAACTGTTTTAGTTGATCCGATAGAAATGTATTTTTGGCAGTCTGCCAAAAAGTGATGCTAACCCCTGGTATATAGTTGTAGAAAATCTCTTAAATCAGATGCATTAGTACCAAATGTCATAATAGATTCCCCAAACTACCAAATATTTTCAGTGCCCTTGAAGTCCACAAGTCAAGACCATCTGCTTCCCTATATCCTGGAGGGGATCAGACAGACTTTTAACACTTGGATTTATGTCTTCTCGCCTTCATGTTTTACTTCTTTATCCCAAGATAGGGATTTTCTTCTAATGCTTGCTTTGCATTTGAGGGATCACACTAACACCTCGCTAATATTGAAGTTAAAAGGGAAGGACGCAGCACAGGTGCAATGTTCCACATGCAAAGCAGTGTCACTGTACACAGCATAGGTTTAATCCAAATTTTGTAAAGTCTGATCTATCCAACCCGTGAGAGTGGTCATGAAGCCCACCGGTGCCTACATCTTCCATTTCCACCATATTTCTTTGTTATAAAAAGGAAAAAACCTTCTCCTGCCACTACTCCCTCTCCTGCCAAAGTAATATAAACTGCAAGTAGTTTGCATCAGCAACCTGAAAGCTAGGAGAAATTAAAAAAACACAACACACACTTTCCCTTGGCTAGCACTTCCTGCTTATTCAAGATGATCATCTTTCCCGAGGTTGTCTAAACTGATCGGTAAAACAAAACAGTGATGGCAAAAATGTTGACTTAGTTCATACAGCCAGGTACCATCACCAATATAAATGGCCAGGAGCTTCACAACAGCACGGTGGTGCCAAATGGTCTTTTACATGAAGCCCACCCTGTCTAGAGAAGGGAAAAAAAAAACACCCCAACAACAACAACAACAACATTTCAAGCATCAGGAATCAGACTTGAATGAAACCATGTTGTGACATATCCATTACTCCTAAATATCAGGATCAAAGAATAAATCGCATAAGGATCCTGGAGGACCAGGCAATCTTATGTGGCTCGTTAGCTGGTAAACTCGACACAGGACTCTGACCTCTGGCTGACCTGGGATGCAGAAATCAAAAGAAGAAGCTGACAACATGACAAGAGCTAGAAGTGCACAAGACAAGAGATGGGCAGGAAAAAACAGCCTAAAA